TGCAGCATCAAACAGCTGCTATTAATTTTATACAGTAAAAATTGCCTGTCAAATCAGTTTCCAAGTGTTCCTTTCTCTTCAGAAATCTTTCCTGCTGAGAAATCTCTGCCATCCAAGGTTAGTGACACATTTTTTAATAAAAAAAAATTCAACTTTTAAAACACCTTCAAAACTAGAAAGTTTATCAACAACGCATAAATTTATCTGAAGGGTGAGAATTATCAGGTTTTGCTTGGGACTAGCACAACTCCCAGATAAGCAACTTTAAACATAACGTGAATATTGTGCTCTAGGTCACTAAAGCAACTTCCTTCCCTGGGCACAAATCCAATAAAAGTTTTCTTTCATGCTCCTTCTGGAGTCCTTAATTCTCTTTCCTATATCTTTCCCCCTCTTCCTTATTCCCTGGTTGTTTGGCTCTCCTCTCAGCAAACTTGTGGAACAAGGGTGAACTAGGAGTCATGCACAGCTAAATACAGAAAACTTGCAGTACCAGTATCTTTTGTATTTCCTTAACCTTGGTTTTGTAGCCCGTTATTTCTAGCACAAATAACATGAAATGGCAGGACACAAAGGGATATCAAGGCTATATAACACACCGATGGAGTTTGATATTGAAGCTTCTGGCATTTCTCAAGATATGGGGTATTGAACGGGTCTGTTCTATATTCTCCCATTAACAACTCCCACAGTCTTTTTGGGGCTCTTGCTCGAGAAAGAAAATGTTACTTTTTTTCTGCTCTTTGCATGTTTGATTTGAACTGGGAAGAGAGGCACTGGCAGGGCACGTACGCCACTAAGACCTGATGAGTTGTCCTAATTTTTTTTCTGCACTTCTCATCTAACAATGGATATCAAAACAAAAAATAGGTCTATTTTACATTCCAAATATAAAGGACTTCTATTTTCCACTGTGTCTGTCAAAGAAACAAAGTGAACACTTTATATTCAACCACTTCAAAGTAGCAGATTAAAATCAGCTGTCTAAAAAGCGACATACCTCCAAGGAACTGGGACACTAACCCTGTATGGCTCTTCCTAACTATAACAGGCAGCTAGATTGTGATTTCCAGAGCTTTCCAGTTGCTTTCAGCAAGGTGTCATGACAAAAATTCTGATGCTGATTTGGTTTTGCCATGCATTGCAGGGGGATCCAGAGTAATGTGAGAGCTCATGTGAAAAATTTGCTCCCACTTGTCTTAAATTCATCTGACTGCTCTCTCAAGCACAGTGTTGGTTTCTCTACTTGAGAGAGCAAGGGTGATTCTGTCAGAGGTGGTCAGGCTAACTTTTGCTTCTCATTCAGTCTTCATTTGGCCATTCTCTGCTGCTGTATCAGTTTTTCTTGGTTCTCTGGGTTTATTTCAACCATTTCAAGATGGTGCTAAATATTTTAAAACATGAATGCAAGCAAATATCTAGGATGGACTAGACTGTTTCTGCTTTTTTGTTGTTGCTGATTCAAAATATTTTGTATGTGAAATGAATTATGCTCAAAGTTGCATTCCTATTCAATCTGAACATGCTACAATTAGTCCCATGGATAGAGCTGGAGTAATTTGGGTTATGCAGCAGCATTATATTCATGTGGATGTCAAATTTGACCCCAGCTGGAGAAAATTAATAGCTTTGCCATATAGCATTTCCATATATTATATAGGACTTTTATAATGGATATTGTAGTTCTGTCCAACACCCAATGGCCCTTGGGGCAGGAACATCTGATTAAAGTCTTGGGCTTATACTTTCAGTGCTAAACATAAAAATACTAAGAAGCAGGACTATGCATTAAATGCAGAATATTTGGTGAGAAGGGCACTTGCTTAAATCTCTCCTTGCTTAAGGAGGGAGTTAAGTTGTCTGAAAACTCAGGTCCTAAGGCTAATTTTTATGAACTGGGAAAGAAGAAACACATCAGCCTCATGCTGTTGTTTATGCAGTAGTGATTTGTTGCCCAATGAAACAGTGTTGCTATCTTAGTCTAGTATGTCACAGAATCTTTTAAATGTAAAACTTCTATCTTGGGGTGGGGGTTGGGAGAAATAATAAAAAATGCACTTACCTTTCTCATTAAATGAGTAGTATTTTGATAAATACAAAGTTCTATCCCAGAGAATCTTCTGGCAAGCTAGTATTGATAGGAGGTGAAAATAAATACAGTTTAAATTATCTTTTCTTTTGATATGGCATCACACAGTAGACAACATAATGCTAATATATCTTAATGGCTGTGCCTTTTGAGAGCTGAATATCAGTCAAGCATATAATTTCATGTTGTCTGGAAAAACATAAAGAGGAGTATCTAAGAGGACTGAATAAGGCACCACACTCTAGAATAACTACTTACTGTTCCCCTGCTAGAGAGCTCTGCCTTTTAAAAAAATAGTTTCCTAACTCGCCTGTGTTTGAATGATTTCAGGTGTTTTACTAAAGTAATAAACTCTCACTATTAAGAGGTTCAGAAAAGCTGTTTCTAGTGACTCCAGCTTGGTGTTGCATACCATTTTGCCTGCTATTCTTAAAGTAGATACATTCTGCTTAGCAATTTTTTTTCTTATACCTTGTAGAATTGCTAGAATACTATAATATTTTCTTCTCCTTTTATTCAAAATCTTAAACAGATCCATAAACCTACAGATTCCAAGTCATGTGGAATCCCATACTTTATGCTTTAATGTCCAATGCCATATTGTAATGTTTCAGTTTTAGCTACAATGCTTGAACATAATTAAAATAATACACATGAGAATTTTTGCTTGCATGTCTCCAAAAAACTGCTGTTTTTAAAGAAGAAACATCACTTACAGCAAGGCTTGGTAAGATCCTAAGAGGTAGCTGTTGGTAGATGTTGCTGTTGCATCTTACTGCAATTTTGAAATGTCATCTTTATTAAGTGTTTCAGTGAACTTTCAGATGTTCACTCCCAGGCATTATTTTCCTCTCTCACAAGGTGCATGCTCACTTCAAGTTTGTCAGTGCTGCCACCCAAGCTGTCCAAAGTCACTTACGTGCGTGAGAGGAGAAACACCCACTCATCATTTCATTTACACCTTGGAATGACAGCAGCTGGGGAGGAATAAAAACAGCTGAAAAAATTTATTGGATAGAAGAATAAGATGGTTGTGGCATATTATAGTGTGTAATAGGGTCTCTGACTTCCATATCTATACTTCTGTACTTTCTAGTGCTATAGAAGATGGGCAGCTAAACACAGCAGTGATGGAGGTGAAATTTCTAGCAGGGCTGAACCAGCCTCTGCTGTTTGCAGCAGCTCATGCCAAGGGGCAGGTGAGTACTCAGCAGGTGTCAGTCACTATTGGCTGGTCAACAACATTAGGATTGCTTCCTTATTGGAACCTTTGCTGGCTCTGAGATTGTTTTATTTCTGGACCTATAATTATGGAGGAATTTTACACTAGATATATGCAGTATTATGGGAAATTCTCAGAATAAATCCTATCCTTCTCCACCACTTGAAGTCAGAGAGAGCATGAATTGTGCATACTGAACAATGCTGGTCCAGTGATGGCCTTTGGAGGCCTGACTGAAATGATTAATCCCATTCACGCCTGTTATCACCATTCCTGCCCTAAAGAGACTTAAATCAAGACAGTGATCAGTATCCTTAGATTTAGCGAGCATTGCATTTTTATCCCCTCATTTTGAAGCAAATCATCCTTCTGCCTTGATTTGTGTAGCCTGCAAGGAGTTCTGTCATTGCTGGTGGGTGGCATCAAACACCTGCACAATTTACTCTCTATTTGCACTGTTAGACCACTGCTGTTCACCTGTAGTGGATTTTGGAAATGGCGTCCTCTGCAGCAAACATCTTCCCCCTTCACAGACTCAAAATAGGGGTTGGAGAGGAAATAAAATAAAGTTAGTGCTTTATTCAGTACATGTGTGTTTAAGATGATGATCAGTTCGATTTTTGTCTGCTGGATTTTTTTTTGATTTTTTTTTTTTTTTTAACCTTCCCTTTCTGATGATGGTGCAGTGATGCTGTAATGTTCCCTTCAGTGACAGTGAAAGGTTGCATTTAACTGATCCAGGTCACTTCCACATTTGATACCTCAGTGGTTTAATGTTCCAAGTAAACTGAGCCAGTGCAGTGGTGAAAGGTAACAACCTTTTCTCCTTGGACTTGACTTTTCCCCCCTCCAAATATATATGGATACATATATACAAAACACTCTTTGATTTCAACTGTCTCTACATCTAGGTGACCAAATTTTGCCCAAGAATCTACTATCAGATTTTAATCTTATTTCTTTGTGAATGAATTATTTGTATAAGGTAACATCTATGCTCACATGTTCATTTAAGCTTAACTGCACGTTTGCCACTCAAGTTAGAAAAAAACTGTGTTAAAAAAAATGATAAAAGGTGAGTTGACAGAAGGCTGTGTGGCTCCGGTTCCGGTTCGGTGGCCTTACGGGGGTAACCCGGTGGGTGCCCTCGTCAGAGGGGGTCCACGGTCACTTCAGAGCTGGCCCTGCTCGGGTTGCCCGAGCCGTTCCGAGCTTGTCGCTAGCGAACAGAGGTGGGAAAGGCTTGGCTGCTCGGCCCGGAGGGCGCACCCGGCGTCTGAAGCCGCCCGGGGAAGGTGAGGCCGCCCCGTGAGGGTGAGGCCGCCCCGCCCCGCCC